TCTTCTGAGGAAGAACAATGGATTTTGTTACAAATAAAATGAAATTAATATCTTACGAGGGCCAAGCAAAATAATTCGAGGCAAATTTTTCAGAAAGCAACGCAACTTGAAAATATAAATCACTAAATTTTTTAGTCGTACGATAATCATTATTTATGAACGAGAAATTTATTTTTCAGTCGCTCGTAACCATTATCGATGATGGGAAAATTTTTTAGTTCATATTCTTTAGTTTATATTTTATTATTGCCAATAATACAACGATAATAATAAATCAAATTTCGTTGATTAAACAATATAAATATAAATATTCGATTCTTGGCACTTGCGTTGTTTTCTACGAAGACAATTAGGCTACCTGCATCGATATGTTTCGCCATATTGCGATTGTTCTTCACATAATGTGACATTTAATTCGCGCTCTTGTTAAAACTTGTCGAAACTCATTAAAGGGAAATAATTTGTAAAAGACCGTCGTTAATTAATTCCTTCGCATTCTGATGTGGTTGAACGAAACCATACTTCGACATCATCTTGAATAATTTATAACCGATACATAACAGAATATGCATACGTTTTTCACTCTGCTTGCAAGAGTATAACGAGTAACGTGAACAATCAGGAGGCGGTCCATTACGTAATTTCCTTCTTCGTTGAATTTTAACTCGAGACTGTGATAGTCATCTTGTACTACCATATCACACATAAATTGAGTTTCGCAAAATTCGTCCGGAGAGAATTTTTACGAAACAAAAAATAATTCGATGTTCCATAAGCGTCACACTATTCTATCAGATTATTGAGAATTTTATTATTTTGCATTCGAGGACAATGATTCCGATCGAATTTTCACATCATCGTGTTTATAAACTCTTTATTTATCGATTAATTTTACAAGTTCACATATTATTATTGCTATTTATTAAAAACTAATACTTTGCGACTAATAAGTATTCGTGTGACCAAGGTGATTATGATGTTCTTCTTAGAATAAGAATCATGGGATTCTTCTGTAAATAATGAAACAATTTTAAAGTATAATAGAAGATGATGCCACCGGACTATTGTGAAAAGTTAGTGAGAAATGTGTTTAATAGAATTTCAAACGTAAGCTAAAGGGCGTTGGGAAAAGTATTAATTATTAAACTAATTATTGCGTGTGTGTGTATATTTCTAATTTATGTTAGAAAATTATTTTCTGTTATTGACGATTAGGAGATTAATATGTCACAATAATAGTTTGTTTCCGATGTTGTTAGGTAGAAAATTTGTTTTCATTAAAGCAGGTGTTGTTGACTTAATTTTAACCGGGTGGAAGAAAATGCATATACCGACCGAGCGCGAACCGTGAGTTCTCAAACTGACCACAGTGGCGCGATAATACGTACAACGATTTGTCAAGTAGGTGTTATCGCGATCCAGGCTCTCAGCTCTAGTCAATGATGTGTGTCATGTGGTGCTAACATAGACGAGATATACGAGTAGTGCTAATGATTATGAGCAAGCATTGGCTGTCAATAAAGACCGCGATGATATCTACAGATGTACATCGATAATTCTGCCACAGACGAGGTATTTTACGAGAGATTTTATACCTTATGAACTTTCATGGCCCAATCTGACTGCCATACCGATCTGAAAATACAGAGGTGATTTTAGCGTCCTCTTCTCATGGATGGCGGTCAGTTGAGAAACTATTGAAATAGTAATTCTATATGAAATAGAAACTATTGAGAAACTATTGAGAAACTCGTATTGAATTAGCATTGCAATACGAGTTGACTATGGAACGGATTGAAAAACACAATTTTCAAACGACCATAACTCCTACAATAACGAATGCATTTCATTGAATTTTATTTCTGAAGTAGAGCTCACGGGTACCTACAAAAAAGTATTAGACAACTTTTTTATAGGACCTCAAACAAAATTTCTAAAAATCAAAAACGAATTTTTAAGTAAAATCGACAAGGGGATGCGTTTTGGCAAAATTGAGAAGTTTCAAATCACTCTGGAAAAATTATTTTCGATTGCAGGGGTAAATTACAATCATTTTTGGTGAATACGCATACCCCCGAAATTCTACACACTTTCGAGAAAAAAATTCTTTACCGAAAATATAATGTGTGGCCAAAAATGTTTCCCCGAAAGGTAAAACAGTCTTCCATACGCCACCACAAACCAGGTATACGAGTCGTATATCTTATCTGTGCGTACTCTATGGTAATAAACATAGTAGGTACAAAAGATAATGTTTTTTTAAGGTAAAAATATTTTAAGGAATTAAGGTACATATTTTAATCATATTACTACAATCAAGGTATAGAATAGACTATGCATCTTATGCAAGTTGGTATTGCACGAACTGAAATACCGACCTGGTAAAATACCCTGTCGATTTCGAGCGACCTCTTCATTGAAAGCACGATGATTATAAGAATTATGGCTGATTAAACTACTGAAATCGGTAAAGTTAGCAAACGAAAGTAGTTCGCCGCTAGTAACGCGATATGAATTTAAATAGTAATGATGATTTAAAGCATTTGATACGTGTACAATTAACGAACATAAAATCTGACTTTAATATATGAATCTTTAGGAATTATGAAAAATGCATTCGTCGTTACTTTAACTGCGACGCTACTTTGCTTGCGTAATTTAATACTTACAGTTACGTGTTCATCCTATTATAGTTCCCACGATCTCTCGTTAATTACATATCAGTAACAGTTACCGTTTCAAGAAAATAATTCTGCTCGCGTTAATTTCGCGGTCGAGTGTTACATGGAAAAAAAGACAAGTACAACCGAAACTGATAGTATTGTTCTTTAATATTAACCTAAACGAGAACGGTTCAATTGTCAGTTAACCTCTCTCTCAACGGGAGGACTTACATTAGTTTACCGCCAGCTGCTTCCTAAAGTACGTAGTCAGACGGGCACGTGATAATCACACCGTGTTGGTATGGTTCTTTGTATTCGTGGATTAAAAATTTTCCTACTATTCTCTTCGTTAGGTACATTAATATATTATGTCGTACATAATTGAACCAGCGAGTCAAAGAACAACGCAAGCCCAAAATGAAGCGTTGTCAAATAACCTCAAAACACAAAATAAATACTCTGCACATTCAAGATGGCGGAAAGCATTACCAATAGCAATAACAAAATATAAGCATGAATAAGTCCCCTATGAGGCATTTAAATAAAAAAAAATATTTTATTATAAAAATTGAGATGTTATTCCAGCAATACAACCGTAGTTTTAAGAATACGTGATACTAATATAACTGAATATTTATAAAATAAAATCAGTAGCATTCCATAATTGTCAGACCGTGTATAGGTTTTAAGACCCAGCTGTACATCCGGCAACAGGTCTCTCCTCTATATTTTATCCCTGGCCTTTCATTTAACGCCATTGCATATTATGTATTTATGTAATTACATCTTTATAATTGTCTACTCCTTTTTTTTTGCAACGATTATTCCTTTCCTCCATTTTCTAGTAAAATCTTCCTCATTTCATACACTCTTAATCAGTGGTATTAATCTGTTCCTGGTGTTTCTTCCGCTTTATATTTCCGTTTCCTGAGAACTCCAGCCTCGCCTACCGTTTTTCCCTGTACAATACTTTTTTTATTTTGATTTTCTCCTCCGACTGACCCCTTTTAGTATCATTTTTTTTAGATCCATAAAATACTCTAACAAATTGATCCAGAATCAAACTGTATCGATTTAATTTAATAGATATTAAAATATGATTGCTATAGGAGAGTGACTATATCGAGCACGGAGAAAGAGCATGATTCAGTGAATAAGACTGTTTTACAACCTAATTAAAAAAACCCGTGCGTCAAGTAAACTGTCAATTGATCTCACTTCATCTGATCCTCCTGAACGCCGCATTACTCATCATTTTCATGACTCAAGATAAGGATTACGTTATCTGTTTCGGATGTAACCTCTCGTGATGATAGAATGACAAGCGTAAGAATCTGAATTTGCAGAAACGTGTGTATGTAAAGATCATTTCTGTCTGCGATCGGCGATAAAATTATTCGTGTAATGAAAAAACAGCGGCAAAAATGGCTTCGTTTCTTTTACGCTGGACAAAGTTCTTGTCACATAACGAAAGATTGATATAGTTCTCAAACAAGCAACGAAACGAACAGTACCGTTGGATTCCTCTCTGTCTAAGCATTATGGGATTATAAACAAGATCTCCTGAAAGTACTCAATTAATCTTGATATAGATAAATCGAAATTTCGAAAGAAGCGAAGCTTTTCTATAGATTTATTTCCATTTGACAAGCAATGCATCAACTGTCCTGAACATAACCTCTAAGTTCAAGATTATTGTAATAATTGATTGTACGGTGTCTGAAATTTTTAATTCGACTAATTAGTTTCGACGTTGGAATATGGAGTTAACCTCTAAAATTCTGACAACAAATCAGTATCAATTGAAATATGTTATTTCAAACAAAACACTTAATTTCTGATTAATCCATATTGCAATTAACGATTTTAGGTGTAACTCTTGTTATTCCTTTATTAATAATTTATCAAACGACTGTTAATTGCTTTATAACCTATATTTATATATTTAAAGTTATACATTTAACTTTATTGTATTTTTAAAGTTTAATAACCACGAATTTATTCGCTTTTTTTTAACATAACCTTAAAGAAATTAGTTGGACTTAATTTTCGATACTATGGCTAATGCTAAATACGATTTTTATTCAATACGTACAGAAATTCAATTATTATTAATTGTACAGAAAAAGAAGGGGGGGAAAGTACTGTTTATTTACAACAGGAGAAGTAAAACTCTAATTCGAGCCAATTAAAGTTAATTCAAATTCAAATTGCATCGAACTCTAATGGCTTCTTTTAAATAACAAATTGTGATTATTGTTCGAAGCAACTGTGCACGCGTCTGTTTTTCTACCAGTCACTTGTAAATATTAATGTTATGCATTTGTATTGTTTCAGAGTCTTTGCAATTGTTGTCCCATCTTGGTGAGTGGCCTTTTATTAATGCACAATTAAGAGCTTACAAACCGAATAAACATAGATACGTAGTATGACTATGGCAATGAAACATAAACGTTATGCAAATATCCGTTCAGCCATTGGAATAAGAGAAATCATATTTATTTTTAATTAGTTAACGTGCAATTAAATAAATTAAATTAAATAAATACTCAGATCTCGAGTTTTGGAAAATAAACGAACAATATTAAAATTATAATGCATTTTAGAAGTTTTCTTTTTTTGAAAATAATTGAACAATATTCGTAGTATTGCTCAATTCGTTCGTACTCGTCCACTCCATATTTGAACCCAAAAAGGGCAAAATGTACTTGTCCAGGGAAAGGATTTTTAATAAATTTAACATAAAATTAACATACACGTGTTACTTCGCTTTTAAGTCGTCCAGAAGGTGAATTTGATCTGTAAAAAGGGAATTTTGATTTGCCATAGGGTGAATTTAATTTGCAAATAGTTGACACGGTTAACATTTCCAGTAGCATTTCTATCTAATTTTTAACTTGGTTCGAATGATCAATGCGCTAAATAGAAGTCGGCGACCTTTGAGCTCATAAGAGAAATACTAGACACATGTTCTCTTACATCCCGGATATCGATTTCCTTGTTCCGCAAAAGGAATTAACACCCTCGAACCGACTCATAGTGAAAACTTAATAACGATGCAAAGTCGATCTCGCAATAAGCATCTGAAATTGATTGCAATGAATTAGCGTCTCCACTAGGACTCCAAGCTATCAGATAACCGGGTAAGCATTACCCAAAAATGGCAGCATATTGAAATCAGTCAATTTTAAAAAGGGAATTCTAGTATGCCAATTTTAAAAAAACTTATAAAAGAATTTATAATAAAAGACTATTAGTTTAATTCTACAAAGTTAATTTACTATATTTTGTCTTTTTCTTTCTTATTATTTAAGTATACATCGTATACAACAAATAAAAAGTTTTTGCCTTTTTTTGTTCGTCGTGTGTATATACTTAACCTCTTCACGCCCTTGGCCACATATGTGGACGTTTAGTTTTCTTTTTCTTTATAATTATAGTTACTGTCAATAATAAATAGACCAGAAAAAAAAGGAAAAAGAAATTCGTCCCTGAAGAGGTTAAAATACGAACTGTAGTGTAAAAACTATACATATGTATATTTCGTACCATTTATAAGATTTTGTATACCTAAGGCATAGAAAGCGAAAAGGTCGTACGGGATAATATAATGCTTGGGTAAAAGGATGGATGTCTTCGGCAACACGAAAATCGGTCATTGCCAGGGGCGATTTTAATAACTATGCAGTTGACACGGTTTCGAGAAATTGGTGCCAAATCAAGGGATGCAGCCAGCTTGACGGTACCCCTTCTACTTCTTGGCACGCGCCACGGTCTCGCATGCTAAAACTTAGGCATGTCCAAAATCGGCTCCGGAGCCCCGACGGTTCCGTCCGCCATGACAGGATAGGATGCGCGCCGCACGATGCGCCACAGTCAGCGCGAATGTTTCCCGCGAAAATGAAAACGATTTCTGCGACGCTCGTTCAACACGTTTACTGCCAGACGAATTTCGTCGAATTCTCTGTGACATCAACATTCCGTTTTTAGACCAACGGACACTGCTTGATCTAAAATGTATATCTGTGGTTATATTTGTAACCTCGTCGAAATTCATAACGTCTCGCCGACCTACTCCGCAGAAAATTTAGTGTAAATCGAGTGTACGGCCAAAATATAAAGTCGTGGACACATGCTGCGAGTATTATAAGCGCGTGACGTCACATCTCCCACTGTCACAGTCGATTCCAAGACGTCATCTCTCGGCTAGTGACGTCAAACGTCCCCAACGTCTACCCTTGCACTTTCGCGGGCGATTTGACGCGCGTTAGAGAATGAAACTGATGAATGAACGTTAGGTGTAACAACAATGTAATTTTCTTATGGAACGGAAAATAAATCTGAAGAGATTTTAGAGCGAACTGTTTGAAAATAGAAATTAATCAATTTTAAACGTACAAATGATTTATTTCTAAAATGAATGTACACGCGGTAAAATTACCTTTTTTATTTATTTATGAAAGAAAATGCGTACAGTTATAACGCGTTTTAATAGCAAACGCACAACATATATTTAGATGTTCTATTCCGTGGAAGGTCGATGCTGGAACCGTTATAGAACTCGTATATAAAATTCAATAATCCTATATTCAGGATTGATATAGAACCGTTCTAAGACTCGATATGTTAACTTTTCTTTTTTTTTTGGTTATGTGTAACAAGTATCGGAAATAACGGTTCTTTATAACCGTTTCACCTTTATATAATAGTTCGAAACAGTTATTTCTGGAAGAGTTTCAAATGCCGATCAGAACTTGCTACGTTTCGTAGAAATAATTCTACAGCGTTATTATACTGTTCTTGCAATTATAGCTAAAACTCGTTCCACGTGAACACTAAATGTTATTTGCGTCTTTATCTCCTATAACGAGCTTATATTGTCTACTTTGTAGAACGATCTAGACAGGAAAGGATTATGATAATGCGTATCGTATTACTCTGTAAAAAAAAAATAAAATCGATCGTTCGCGTGGAAGCTTTATTTTTATCCGATGCATGTTGCAATTGCGTGCTAATTGTAAGAAAAAGTGTGATTTCAGTTCGATATTTAATCGCTTAATTCACTTTCCTTTAATCGTGTCTGCGCACCGAAGAATTTGTATGAAATGGAAAGGTTTTTTTAATTGACTTTTCTGATATACTTATTTAATTATTTATATTCATAATAAATGTTTTAAAACAAAAAGAACAATCGACGAGTAATATTTAACGTTAAACACACGGACGAGATATTTTATTCTCGAATAACGAATGAAAATATTTTAATTCGTTCGTAAATTAGTTTCTGACTTTGTATATTGGTTTGAAAAGTTTTTATTTATAAATGAATTTACAAACTGAACATGCACAAAAATTAGTTTACTAATCAATGTGAAATTCGTATTCGTTATTCGTGAATAAAATTTCCTGGACTTCGCTGCGTGCTTGCAATAATATTACGATGTTATAATTATAACTGACATTTAAACCTTGTCTGCTTCGGAGATACGTTCTAAATTTAATCATGGTCACCTCCAGCCGTTTTTCTAGCATAGACACAACTGTGTTTTATTTGTAATTGTTTATTACATATCCCCGTTGAATAATGAAAAGACTATTCTGTTCCTTGATCTAAACAGAACAGAATGGTTTGATAAAAATCAGTTCAGTAGATTTTGAGTTAAACCGGAACGGGCGGATAAATAAACAAGTAGACAGATGGGCAGACAAAAATTCTAAAAGTGTGAAATTTGGCATAGATATCCCATAAACTATACGTCTCGGTAAAAATCGCCCAAAAATCCTACGGTTAAAAGATACGTTAGAATTTTATTAATAAATACCACTTTGGAACTACGATTCATTTTTATTACACGGTAAAACTTAAATTCGAGCAATAAAAAAAGGAGTGACATTATTTCGGGTTAAAAATAAAATTTGTATCATTAAAGTACTTTAGTACATTGTAGTTTAATAAAAGTCAGACTATAAATTGGAAAATAAATTTTAGTAAATTCAAACTTCTAACTTTGCCCGTTCCAATGTGGCAAGCAGTAAAATAGTTTTCGTAAACAGATTAATTTTTAAGCCACAATAATGTTTTAATACCACGATTGATACGCATTAATAGTGAGATTAAATCAGGCTTCAATAATTTAGATAATGGATACGTGACTTTAGAAACACGCGGAATTATAGGAAGATAAGGGAAAAGACTTTTACACCATCATGATTTGAAAGTGGTTCAAAAAATGGGTAAACAACTACTTTTAATATTAATTCGCAGCTGATATCGAATGTACACAAAATTTCCATAGGCGTGGGACCTCCGTCTTAAAACATTATCATCAAGATCTGGATGGAACAAACCTGATTCTCACCTTGTTAACAGAGCTGGACAACATGTAATTTGATTAAAATTGCGACAATACGACTACACGTTGTACTGTAATCGCGTTGTAATTAGTCGATAATTAGACTGTTATTACACGCTTCAAAGATTTACGATTATGATTACACCGCAATTAAACGATAATTACAGTTTGGTTACGTGTAATCATATAATGGCAAATGTGCAATTCGATCAATTTTGAAGTTAGAATAATTCTTAACTATGCAGCCTTTCAATTGACAATATGTTTTCCTTTTTTTTTTATTAAAATTATAATTAATGTAATATATCGTATTCAGATTATCATGTGGCGTCGCTTCTCATGCTTGCCACCAGAGCGATCGCGCTCTCACAAGCGCTCGACCGACCCCTCGGTTGCTATACAGAGTGTTCGGTCAACCCTGGGAAAAATTTTAATGGGAGATTCTAGAGGCCAAAATAAGACGAAAATCAAGAATATCAATTTGTTGATGGAGGCTTCGTTAAAAAGTTATTAACGTTCAAAGTTCCACTCGAACTAAATTTTTTTCTCGAAAATGCGTAAGATTTCGGGGGTATGTCTATTCACCAAAAATAATTGCAATTGACCCCCGAAACCGAAAATAATTTTTCCAAAACGATTCGAAATTTTTATTTTCCGTCGAAAAATTTCACACCTCGAATTTTTTTCTCGAAAATGGGTAGGAATTCGGGGGTATGTCTGTTCGCCAAAAATGATTGTAATTGACCCCCGCAAGCGAAAATAATTTTTCCATAAGGATTTGAAATTTTTTTATTTAATTGTTAATAAATTGTTAACGAAGCCTCTTTCAAGAAATTGATATTATTGATTTTCGTCTTATTTTGGCCTCTAGAATCTTCCATTAAAATTTTTCGCAGGGTTGTCTGAACACTATACTTTTTGATTGACGGTCACATCACTCTTTTGAGATCAGTCGTTTCTGCGTCATTCATCAACGAGGAACTCGATACCGCAAGGATGAAAGCCACGAGTTTGCGTCGTTCGACGTCATTTCGTGACGTTCGTCAATTTTTTAACCCTGGACACAGAACACTGTTTTTTCAGACTATCGCGTTTCCGGTTTGGCGTAATTTGAACGCGTTTCGAAGGCGTCATAAGTTCTGCAAAAATTCCTCGAAGTACTTGCGTACAGTTTAAAACTTGTCCCAGAGTGTTAATAACTGCTAAAACTTATACAATTACGCGACAATAGTTTAATTTTATTAAGACAGATGTACTTTACGATCATTATGGACGAGAAAATGGCAAAAATGTGGCAAGATACAGAATTTTTTTATTCAAAACGAGCGCAAATCATGCCGAATCTGAAAGATCACAGTGCACCGTGTGGTACTACGAAAAAAACAGTGTGTCGTTCCAAGGTTAATAAACATCCTCCAAATCTGTTTCCTGTTCTTTACGACCAACCTGCGTCTATTTTCGTTTAACAAAACTTAATAAATTAACGCAGTCGCGAACGAAAGTTTTTAACGTGGGAGGATGTAAGACAATCTACACGTTTCTTGATACTAACAAACGTTGGACTATGTATTCTTTTTATCATTTTAAACCCACGGTATAGGAAATTTTAACGCGAATTATAAGGTGAATTATCAAAGTGGTTAATTTAATTGTGCTTTGCAGGTTGGAAGTGGGACGTCAACGTTCTAATATGGCGCCCAAGTGCATCTCTTCTGTCTCTGGCGTTGTCACTGTTTGGATCCTCCGATCAATATTTCCTTTCTATCGATTTGCCTTTCAAATTCGAAAATTCGATCGCTCTAGCAGCCAGTAAAATTGGACTGCGATCGCGTATGTCGTCTTTCTCGTGCAGCACTTTCCTATGGAACCCCTTTTACATCGTAATGTGACTCAGATGACCGTGTCCTACATCGGGATGAAGCAAAGTGAATGGCGCCATAGTCCGTCTTACTCTCTATCCTCTCTTTCCTTCAACTTCTTTCCCAATGTACGTCGGTTCTTCTTTTCCTTTCTTTTCTCTTCGTTTTATTTCTCAAACAATGACTATCACAAAAATTGTCAAGCTTCGCCACCAAATCCTCGAGTTTCGAATTTTCTAAGGTTACATCAACACTATTTCTCCCTTAAAACTTTAACCTGAAATTGTTTCCCAAGTTTAACCACTTTTCTAAATCTTTTAATTATAAAAAGCTTCTTCTCATACCAACAAATCTTCTAACTTTAAATTAAATATATTAAATAATTATATTGCAATAATTTATCCACACATAGTTCGTGGACCAGGAATAATGGATACAAGGATATATACAGTAAATAAAAATACTATTTTTAATATATTCATGAAATAAGTAAATATTTATATAACATGAAGAATAACACATTTTTTTAACACCAAATTAAACGTTTAAAACAGTTTGAGAAATTAAAATTGAAATAATAATACAGGGATGTACGTATTTCAGTATTTGTACAATAATAATCTGTAGAATATTGTAAATATTAAGACAATAATAATTAAATAAGAGTAGTAGTCTGATAAGGTTGAATATAGTTGTATAATTGCGAGCAACTGTACTTTGGTTTGAATAAGTTGTTTCAGTATTCTGTTGGGCTCAAGTGGACCCCTTTGTCTCTTTACTTTTCGATACATATGGTATGCTGACTCAGAGAACACTGGCAATGTGCTGACACGTGCACAGTGAATTACTTGTGTGGTATACAAAGCCTCGTTGCTTAGGCCAATACCTATTCTATACCAATTTCCGTTTTCAAGCGACAATTTTTACACCGGATTTAACTAACGAAATTATTCTTCCCACTGTGTATGTTTATGTACCACGTTTATTCGTTCGTTAAAACTAGATTTACTCTGGGAAAAATTTACATGAGCCATTCTAGAGGACAAAATAAGACGAAAATCAAGAATATCAATTTGTTGATGGAGGCTTCGTTAAAAAGTTATTAACAATTAAATTCAAAAATTTCAAATCGTTCTGGAAAAATTATTTTCGGTTGCGGGGGTCAATTACAATTATTTTTGGTGAATTGACATAACCCCGAAATCTTACGCATTTTCGAGAAAAAAATTCAGGAAGTGGGGGAAAGTCGATAAAATTTCAAAATTTCAAATCGTTCTGGAAAAATTATTTTCGATTGCAGGGGTCAATTACAATCATTTTTTGTGAATAGACATACCCTCGAAATCTTACGCATTTTCGAGAAAAAAATTCAGGAAGGGGGACAAAGTCGATAAAATTTCAAAATTTCAAATCGTTCTGGAAAAATTATTTTCGATTGCAGGGGTCAATTACAATCATTTTTTGTGAATAGACATACCCTCGAAATCTTACGCATTTTCGAGAAAAAAATTCAGGAAGGGGGACAAAGTCGATAAAATTAAAAAATTTCAAATCGTTCTGGAAAAATTATTTTCGGTTTGGGGGATCAATTACAATCATTTTTGGTGAATAGACATACCCTCGATATCCTGCGCATTTTCGAGAAAAAAATTCGCGTAGGTGCTGAACTTTAAATGTTAATAACTTTTTAACGAAGCCTCCATCAACAAATTGGTATTCTTGATTTTCGTCTTATTTTGGCCTCTAGAATCTCCCATTAGAATTTTTCCTAGGGTTGGCTGAACATCCTGTATAAAGCTCGAGTATCCTTCGGTTTACTAAGGTCCAATGCTAGTTTCGATTTCTCGTACCGGGACGTTTTAATCGATATCCCAAAATAAATAAACGATGTCATGATATCAATAGTGCTCTCCGTCATATGAATTTAACGTCACGCGCGAACGTGACATCGTATAGATTCGTTGAGCTGTAAGGAGGGCTGTTTTCGAAAGTCAATAACCGAGGGTTGTGCTAAAAATGAACGCGTGACGTCACGATAATATGCGTTTCTACTGATTGTATAATCTGAACAGAATATAGCACATGATCTCCTATAGGAATAGCTAATACTACTGAAAAAATTGTTTACATTGTTTTTTTCTGTATTTACTTAGAATGTCTTATTTGTCTAAAAAAAACAGAACAAAATTAATAACATAAGAAACTTATGATTAATAACAATGTATATTTTTAAATTATTAAATTATAATTTAATATTTTCCAGCATACTCTTTTCTGTTTCATTGCCTCTTGTAATGTATTTAATTCTGAATGGAACAATTTCTTTGGGAATTTATTCCTGACTCTAGCCCATTTTTTCTTTTTTTTAAACTATTTGTTTTTATCACAATTTATTGAAAATGTGATCGGATATTTTTTTTTCTGTAAATAATTTTGAATTGGTACTTGTTTGGATGGAATAATAACAAAGGAATTAATTTTCATATGTTGCAGATCCTCCTGTTGACAGTGTGTACATGATATGCGGTGTGCTGATTGCTATGGTGTTTGTAGGCGTTATTATTGTCCTACTAGCTATAACAATCAGGTAACAACTTGTTTCAATATTCCAATATTCCAAAAAAACGATAGAAGGATTCAATGCTTCTTGGAACTATATTTATAACTTTTAACATTAACGTGTGACTTCTTTTGCAATCTTTGTTGGTCACTGAAAACTAAAGGGGGCGGTGTTTTCCATATTTTTGATCGGAAGATAATCTTTAAACAAAAAATATTTTTAGAGTAAAAAATATCAAGTAGTAATATTTTTTAAACATAAAATATTCTTATTTGGATATTCCAATAAGCTTTCACCATTGTTTGTGTCAAAAATGAAGAAATCTTTCTATCTTATAAAACATGATAAAATCTATTAGTTTCGACCTTTCTGTTGCTTCCGTTTCATTGGTTTCTTTCAACAAACGGAAGATTTTGTTAAAATTAGTGTCGTGTGACACAGCTTCGAGAGCATTTCTGCAAAGTAAAAGCGACGTAAACATAAAGACGAAGCTCACAGCGTGGAACAAATCAGGTTAATTAGACGAATTCCTAGCCCGGTGGATAATCTGTGGAGGAGGAAGATGCCGAACGATTTGAAAACAGCAAGTGCACAATTGGATAGAATTTAATCCACGTCCCGAGCATTAATCGTATTTTAATTGGGCGTGCATCAACAAATCGCGTGTACTCATCTACTAAAGTTCAAGCCAATTAAGGTCACCCGTTGACTGAGCTCTCCTGTCATCCACTTTCAGTTACCATAAGATGGATTCGCTCGTGAGTCTGTTATTAGCACTGTGTATCGTCGGTTATTCGATGGAAAAGTTAATCTCTCGCAAAGAGTACTAAGAACAAACAGATTAAATTCGATAAAGCGTACGAACAATAACACAGAAACAATAAGAAAAACAAAAGAAAAAATTTTCATTTTATTCTGAATTCAGTCGAATTACAAGCATATCATTCATACGATCTAACGTCATTTGACACCTTTCTGCTTGAATTTAAATAACTGTAGTTATTTTTAATTATCGAGGAAAAATCATTGAACATAGAAAGTAATTTCGAGTGAAAATTTTGAAAGATTTCATTCGAAACCTTCGGTAGAAACAGTGTTGAAGTTAACAGTGTTTACAAAACACCTTACATAAGCCTAATCACACTATTAGATTACTCTGTTGCGTATTTCCTGGATTCTGTAGATCGAAATGGCTGGAATTACAAACTATTTAATAAAAGATTAGCTACCGTGTAATAGAATCTACTTATGAACGATTAGTCAATTAAGATTAATTACATTGTTTGGTCGAGTCGTAACCATAGAATGCAACGCAGGTTGTACAAATATAACACCAGTTTTACCACGCGTTTTGGACTGTAAAAATATACGATTTCAAGCTAAAATTTAACGAAAATTAAGGAACTTTATAATCTCAATGCATAATTTTTTTGCATAATTATATGCATAAAAGAAGAAAATGAATCGATTTCAAGTATTTTTCGTAAAATAAACAAAATACCCACGTTCTGCCTACATTGCAGGTGGCTTTTTCAGTAGTCAAATAACACATTGATATTTGTATGTGCAGTTTATGGCTATTTAAGGTCCCTGTGCTCGTGTCATGGATCATTGGTTACTAATAACCAGGCTGGTGTCATGGGTCACTGGTCACCAATCGGAGCTATTTCAGACGATCAGCTGGCTCCTTAAATAGACTCAAATCACACGTCAGGCCAATATCAGTATTATTCGCCTCCCTTTTCTCGAAAGACCAGCACATCCCACTCGTCTAAAACGTTTCCTTTTTTCATTTCTCATAGTTCAATCTATTTAAGGTGTCAGTGCTCGTGTCGTGGATCATCGATTACTAATAACCGAGCTCGTGTCATGGATCACTGATCACCAATCAGATCCACGCTCGTACACGAAAGTGAAGTGATAAAATGTATACGTCAATCTGAAACGTTCGATATTATAGAAAATCTTGAAGAACGTGATCGAAGTCTCGCAGTTGTAAAAAAAATGGCCGATTTTCAATTCTTAGAAAGGCACAAGCTAAGCTGTGGCGTTCGACTTTGTGTTTTGTCGAACGTAGAAAACGATAGCGAATGAAGAATAAATAAGAATAATATGAAACTTAGTTATTTTTTACTTTTTATTAATGGAATCTTTGCTAATATATTTGTGAAGTTTTTCTGATTAAAATGAGACCAAACATGATATACGATGATCTCATATAGGTGGTCCCAGAAGTACCAGACCTAACAACAAAAAAAACATAAGAAATTTGATCACAGTCATTTTTTTTAAACAATAACCACGGTCTATACCTCAGGCCAGGTACTTCTGGGACTACTCTTGTAACTTGGATCAATATTTGCGTATTTAACGAGTGACAATAACTTATATTTTATATAAACTCTATTACAAGTAGGTTAGAGACAAATTATATCGTGTTTGGTCTTATTTTAATCGGAGAACTCTTACAAGTACATTGGTAAAAGTTCCATTAAAAATAGAGGAAAACTAAGAAAGTTTTATCTTTGCATTATAGCGCCGTGATTGGTCAGTGTTTTTCGTTAATAATTCAAAAACGAAGCTCCATCCGATATTTTTGCAAAGGAAATTGTTGTTCAGAATCGTCTCAGCTACCCCCCATTTCCGGTTCTTACACTATTTACGGGACACCCTGTATAAATACAACGATGGTCAAATACAGGGTACAAATAAAGTGAAATTACTCGTTATCTATTACATTTTGGGCTAATAAAGGTCAATACTTTTTTACTCAGAATTCCACAATCTTCCATATTTTGAAATAAAAAATATAGCATTCCATTTAAAAAAATAAAGTTGACCTTCAAATCTCCGAAACGCCTCCACCTATAAAAACAGTAAATTCACTACAAAATGTACCCCTTTGAACCATGCAACTGTTATATACAAAATTTTTTCGTGCAACGCATAGTTTGGAAGTTATCGAGCTGCACAAGTTACGTGAGCACCACTTTGTATAACGATGTGTCCTGAGGCTACGCAAATTAAATTCACACTTTATATTCGCTGTAAACATACGCGAGAATTAACTTAGAAAAATATTTGAACATTCAATAGTTACTCAAATTAAACAATGGAAAGTTTCAAAAGGTAAAGAAACGATTTACAAATTAGCGAATACTTGATATTAACAAGAGTCAACAGTCTCGTGGGTCTCTGTGTTTGCCACGACGCGGTTTTCGAATATGTTTAGCGGGACATTTGATCGGCCATTCGTTTACATAAATCGGGAACGCCGTCAAAGTGGTTATTAACAGGAATTAATATTAATCTATAATGATGTATCGTCCCTGCTCGCGCAGCTAATTTCCCGACAGTATCAACATTCGCGCGTTGCACGTCGCAATCAATCTTGCGGGATTCTCGATATCTATAAATTAGATAGGAAGTTCACGTGCATACTCGCGTGAACGAAACGGCGAATCCAATAATCCATAAAAGAATTTCGTTGGCAAATCCCGATAAAGGATTTCCTCTCGGTTTTACCCGACTGTAAGTTTTCCCTTCCGGTTACATCGCGCGCGATTCAGATTAAACGAAAAGGTTTCCCCGTGTTCGATGAAAATATTTCAACAAACGGCCGCGCGGGAATTATATCGAGAAACTGGAGCTGGCTGAGGTTCCGAAAATAATTGATTCGAATCTTATATAGAGCGAGTATATGACGTGAATTAAAAAAAAATAATCAACGTCCGCGAGAGCCAATGCAGGGACTTTAATTTGAACTATTGGTTCTTTGTAACGGTTATGGGAAATAGAAGTTCCTGGTAAGTGTTCCAGGGATTTTGATCTATGTACGACAGTTTCCAGATCTCGAAAAGAACGTTCATTGCGATAGGTTTTCGTTGGAAATTCTCTAGACGGTTCTAATTACGCTAAAGAGTATTTGCTGCTTTTTCTTGCGTTATCTGTTGGATTCTTTGAAACGGTCAACCGGCGAGCAGATTAAATGTTCCGAGTATTATCTCGTCATCGAACGAGCGATGTAGTACATCATTCGGATCTCGTCGTATGGAAATCTATTGCACATCTAACAAGAGAAATTACCCGGATCTTAGGGGAATATTCCACCGGGGAACGCGTAGTTTTCGCTCTTTCGTCAGAATTTCCTCACAAATAACCGTTCGAATATCAAACATTCCCAGAAATATTTCCAGCCACGATATTTGATTAAGAATTTATTCTTACGAAGAACTTCATTTTGCTTACTTCGTTGTCTTCCGAAGGTAAAACGAAAAATACATGTCTAAAACGGCTGCGTTGGCTGTTTTGGTAGCGTGAAGGACTTCTAATGCCATAGTCGTCGAGTTTCAATCCTGTAGTAGGTTTTTGTATTTTTTTAATGTCGTTTTTCTTTTTCTTGAAATACTTTTTATTTTTCCACTATTCTTTTCCTTGAAATACTTTTTATTTTTCCACTATTCCTTTTCTTGAAATACTTTTTATTTTTCCACTATTCTTTTCCTTGAAATACTTTTTATTTTTCCATTATTCTTTTTCAACGATATAGTGCTTACAAATAATGAAATTATTTAATATTTACATTAATAGTATTTAATTGTAATTATATAGGGTGTCCAACCAACTCTGGGAAAAATTTTAATGAGAGATTCTGGAGGCCAAATGAAAATTAATTTGTTGATTGAGGCTGTATTAAAAAGTTATTTACGTTTAACAAAATAAACTAAATCAACAAATTGGTATTCGTGATTTTCATTTTATTTTGGCCTCTAGAATCTCCCATTAAAATTGTTCTCAGGGATGGTCGAACACCCTGTATAATATACAGAGAAAATAAGAAAGAAATGTTTTCTCATTTCGTAATTCCAAATGATAAAAATCCATTTGTCATACGCGTAGAAATTTATTTGTAATTTTGTAATGTCACGCTACTGATTCACAAGGTACCGATAAAAAATAGTGAATCATACGTGAATTCAGCGTTACTGAACTCGATAGAGACGTTTCATCAAAATTATATTATTGAC